TCTGACGAAGGGCTAACGCTCGAAACGTCAGCTTTTTACCCTTTACGATGGCTAATTTACGTTTTCTCTTCTTATATACCTAGTAATTATCAAAATTCATGTCACAAACAATCATAAGATGATTACTTTGCATAACACCCACCTTGAGCAATGGATCACTCTTAAAGTGTACCTCAAACTGCTGATCCTCCCTAAACTTCTTTATTAAGAGTTTTGCCCCCCCTCTTGCCAAACTGAAATAGCCTTGACCACCCTTCCTTTTCTTTCTTCCCTTCCCCCACTTTACATAAACAATGGCCAGTCCCTTTATTTAGTAAAATGACCTTACAACAGATATCCCCATTACCATGTTACTGCTGTAATCCTCCCAGCATTACATAAATATCAGTAAAATGCAATGAAAAGACTGCTTTACTCTACATAGCTGATCATGTGTTACTGTCTACACACATACCTGTGTTTGCCACATAGATGTTTTGTCCCTCAATATAAGATACTAACGCACAAGCCCCTGAAGCTCCAGCAACAAAGGAGTCGTCAAGAACTTTTACTGGTATGGCTTCAGTAGAAATATCGTCATCTAATTGTGTAAAAGCCAAACTAAGGGATTCCTGAGTAGGCATTCGACCTTCAAAAGGCTTCCCTATCAAGCTTTTGATAAAGTACTTTGGTCCTGTTTGAAAAACTTCTTGTTTTTGACTTAAAGTATAACCAAAATTGCTCTGAGATGTGCTTTCCATTGCTGGTAACCTGTCCTGTAAAATTTTAACAAAATCATCCCCTGAGAAACCTTTCGAGAGATTTCTCTCCAAGATGGTCAAATCAGATTTTGTAAGGAAAGATACAGCAAGATAGAGAGGTAAACGATTTTTAACCATTTCTGCACACTGCCAGCCACCGTGCCCATCAAATACACCAAAGGTTGTACCGTTTGTTTTCAATAACAGCCATTCATTGGCCCGATCTTCACACGGAGAATTGGAAGCGAAACTGTTTGTTTCAAAGTGAGATACTACTCCAATATTCACATTCACGCTTTTTTCATTCTTTCGCAAAATTTCACTGGCCTCTTTAGGACTTATTGGAGGTTTCTCTGAACCTTTAGGGCCCTGTACAAAATTATGGATCCATTTCTGCAAAAGGTCTCGTAATCCAACGGAGCTTGACGCATCTTCTTCTCCGCTGCCAGCACGAACCGTTAGGGACCTGTTGAAACCAAACGTGTACATGGAGCCAAAGAAAGCGGCTGTTGCGCCGAATACTGGCCATTTCCATTTACTCAAGGTTCCAAAAAATTCTGCTCTGTTCATTAGGGACATGGGACGATATTTAAGATTCTTAGAACAAACTAAACGAGAAAAATCAACCACACCATCACGTGTTAGTTGTCGTCCCGTCTGAACGCCATAATAAAATATGTCATGATGGAGCTAGGATGGATGTTTCGCAGTTAGGATCCAGACTCTCTGAGGTGTTGCTCTACACCCTGGAAACGAGGTAAACCCCGCCCTGTTTCCCGCCCTGTTTCCCGCCCTCGGACTCAATTGCTTCCGGACCGTCTCGTAACTCAATGGTCAGGGTCCATGTCAATTTTAAATTCTAAGAGAGCACTTTCCCATCACATCCTGTTTTCAGGCAGGTTTTAAGTGACCCCTTCACATAGCTATGACTGAATTCCTGAATCTTTGATGAAAGAGTTTCTGTTCCCACTCAACTAAATTCACAAAGCTCCTCAAATCATGAATTGTTCCCGTACCTGAATCAATACTAAATAGCCCCACAAAGCTTCAGGGGAAAGAGGTCAGGATTTATTCTGACAATTGCTCGTTACCCTGACTGAAATCGGCGATTTGTAATCCTTGGGTATT